TTTCAATTTTTTTTTAAGAAAAACTCCTTCTCTCAATGTACCGTATTCTTCATTTGATCATCTTGATTTTCACGGTTTTGCTATAGCACACTTTTATAGTAACCATTGTCATATATAATCAGGGAAGTTTCAGAACAGGAAAGGTGGTTTAATGCTACACTGAAGAAAGAATCAAGACTCAAGAATGGAGAGAATCCTGAAACTGGTGATTGGTCTCAAAGCTACAATCTCTCCTTTAACCTCTTCAATGAAATTGAAGCTTCATTTTTGCTCATATTTAAGAAGCCGTGAGTGTTCAGTTTGCTTTGACAGAACAATGTAGCTACTTCTTAGAATTTTGCTCCCATTTCCATAGAGTCCACACAAAAGGAAAATGGAATCGTTTTAACAAAAGTTAAATCGCTTCTAAATGATTTATTTATATAGGGGATGATTTATTTTAAATTCCACAATAAATATTGATAAAATATGAAATAGTGGGTTATTAGTAAAGGGACTCAGTAGGTAGCATATGATGTTATATTATAGAACAGTCCTGGGAACACTTGGTTTTAACTCTTATTATCAATTGCTACTGACTGGGTTTGCACAATATGCTAGATTATGTAAATCCAGCCCATTCAATGTGGTTACTGTATTGCTTGATATCTTTTGCAAACAAAGGCAATTAGGTAAATTCAGTAAACCATGATTCATTTCATTGTGCCTATCATGTTCACATAATCAATAGGATGGATTCAGTAGATGTCAGATTAGATCAAACTCGTGACTAGTACAAGTTTTTGATCTCCATAAAACTTTTCCTTCAGCCTCTGCTATGGCTGTGCACTTTTCTGAATACGGTATATTGTTTCTCTTGCTGACAAAAAAATGTTTTGCATCTCAGAAAAGTACCACCTATTAATTCATTGAAAAGAATAAAAGTCTCACATGACCAATTTGAAATCTAATTTCTTGTTAGTGTTTCCACTGAAGAAAGAGCTATTGAAATGCTGTAGAACCCAACTGGGGTCACAAACAGGATGGCAAAAAAAAAAAGCTGTATCAAGACTTCAGATATAATTATAATACAAACATATTGATTTGATTTTTTTTTTCTTTTAAAACCAGGACTTAATCCCCAAAAGTCAATTGCCATTCTGAGTACCTCATTTCAGGAAAAGACTATACTACAAATGGGAGATAAATATTGATCAAAGGAGTGCAGCTTTCTCTGTGTAAAAACAAGCAATAAGAAACAGGAAGGAACTGGCTAAGGGATAATAGAATTGAATAATTTCATATTCATAAATCAGGGAAATTGATATTTGAGTCTATATCATGATTTCTAAGGCACCTAACTCAGAAAACAAAATTGGGAAGGAGGAAAGTTTCAAACCAATACAAGTTGATTTGCAGATCCCTTACTGCATTTGGTAATAGTTAACAGAACAAACAAAAACAATATTTGCAGAACTAAAATGATGCTTGGGAGCCCGAGTTTCAAATTCATTTTCCTTGGACAGCAGACCCTATGAATGCCACATAGCAAATGACATTTGAAACTGAGAGAAGCCATAAAGATAGCATAGGCCATGGAATGAATGGGAAAGTAGCAATTTAAAGGAATAAAGACATTTCCCTTGTATGAATGTAAAAAGCTCTTTTAAACCTGATTCTCCATATAGATCATTTTATGAAAGGAGGGGGAGAGGAAAAGATAGCTACATATTATCAGTCCATTTATCTGCAAAACGCTATTGTTTTCTTCTAGAACAAGCAAGCCTAAATATTTGGGGGAAAGGAGGTTTAATAAAGCACACGACGGAAAGTAGGGCAAGAGTTGTAACAGCAGAGTTCAAAATTAAATAGCAAAGAGGATGGGCCTTTGATTACTGTATCCTTCTGTAGACTATGTTGCCCATTTAGCATGCAAAAAAAATGGCATTTTTGATTATGCTTTCTACATTCCCAGCAGGCACTGAGAGCAAGTTGACTCAATTTAATCTCATTTTGACAAGTCTCGGCAAAACGAAGCGCACCAAGGCCTCACATTCCCAGGGAAAAATACAGGCGTTCCTCGCTAACTAGTGCCCTACAAACTCCCTCTCCACCTATACAATCTGCACACCAGAAGGACTACTCCTTCCCTGCATTCCCTATTATCTTCTTCTGCCAACTCTGTACATGGAGGATGGAGTTCTGAAGATCTGGACACTTCCCACCCTACTTCATCAGCAGGGCAATACAGGAAAACCGTGAACTATCCAACACACACTCTCTCTCCCTCTCTCCCTCTCTCCCTCTTTCCCTCTCTCCCTCTCTCCCTCTCTCCCTCTTTCTCTCTCTCTCTCTCTCTCTCTCTCTCTCTCTCTCTCTCATCAGGCCCTAGATCTAAGCTGAACTTGAACCCAGTAAGATTCTCATCATCAGGAAGAGTTAAATGAAGGACTCTCCTCCACAGCCAGGAGATCCTAGACAGTTTCCCACACCTCCGTTTTTCCTCCGGAACGCACAGAAACACCTGCCTCCGGTGTCCTGCGTCAACCAGCAAGGGCAATCTTGCTTGCCAGGATCCTGAAAGGAAGCCTCGGGAGGAGAGCGAGCGCGCGCCGGCAACCCATTGCGTCGCTCTCCCTGGTGCTGAAACAAGCGAACCCCCAAGCAATGCAAAATATAACAAGTGACAGTGGACTTACCCCAGGTTGGAGAGAGAAGCGCCGAGCTCAGCTGAGAAACAGGGGGTGCTCCTTGTCCGGCTGTCTAGAGAGTCTCACGACTGATAGGATCACCCAGCTCCTGGACTGTCCTCTTCAACCAGCCGCTCGCCTTCTCTCCATTGAAGGAGAGAGAAGCCGGCAAGAAGCAAAAGCTGGAGGCGGGGATAAGGGGGAGCAGAATCAGGTAAATGGGAAGTGTAGGAGTCAGCCAGCTCTCTCAGCTGGGACAAATCTCCTCTAAGCCCTCATTGCTTCATCTTCCTCCTCGCATATCGTTGTGTTGAGCGAAGAGCTTTAATGCAGCCACTTGATCCTCACACCCTTTGCATTCGTGTTTCCTTTCTCTTCAATTTCAGCAGCTTGGAGGTGCCCCCCACCCCCAGCACACATACGCACAAACACTACTTTGCCTTTAGCTTGCAAGAAGCCACCTAGTGGCCGAAGAGAAAAGCAATCCAACAGGGTAACATATATAAAAACAAAAACATAAGGGCATTCACTCAAAGCATGTAATTCCCACCTTACCTGCCTGTTTATGTGCCCATTTGCATTAACTTCGGATGTTTTAATTTGCTGCCTTGATCTGCCATGCAGATCAATGTGTATTGTGGACAACATATTTTTGCTACTTTTCTTGTCACTCATTTTGAGATACCTAAAGGGCTTCCCAATATTTCCTGGATAGAGAAATTCTGAATATACTATCCTGTCCAGTCTGCCCCAAAATTACTCAGCTCTCCTGATTCTGGTTTGATGGATTTCACACCCTACCCTATGAATATTCAGCTTCAGTTTAAGCACTTGACTCAACTACATGGGAAGTTTTTCCAGAACTGGAGGGTTTTTTTGTTGTTGTTGCAAAACTCATCTTCCATAAAGTCAAATCTACAGCAGGTCAAAGACATCGGAGAAGCAATATTTTAAAAAGCAGATATCTCCTGGGTACTCAGTTTAGGGAGTAGAGATAATATTTTGAATTACTCCTGTCTTTTAATATTGGAAAGTTTCCTTTTGGATGCCACTTTAACTGGAGTTGGAGCTGGATAATTGTTTGTGAGTACCCATGTAGTGTTATGGCATGCCACCTGGCCCGCCCAAATCTCTACTTGTGCATTAACAACTAAATCAGAAATCTGGATGTTTATGGCTTTCTTCTGTGCCATTCTGTTTTTCTATATGCACTTATTTTTATATTTCATGTACAGAAACACTCAATTTGAGATTCAAACTTATAAAATTGTACAGTACAAAAATATCCTTTCATTCTACGGAATACCTCTGACATTAACAACTCTACTGGTACCACCCATTCTTAATTATAATTGGCATTTCATGAGTTACGTTTTTAAAGTAAGTAAGACAAGCTATGTCTTGTCATTTTTTTATCCTGCCTTTATTAATTTATAAGTAATTAAAGGCTGTGTATATGCACAATATTCCTTCCTCTTCATCTTTCTCTCCACAGCAATAACCGTGTGCATGACACGACAAAACCGCGCTCGACTACAGCGCGCCCGATTAAATTGCGTCGCTGATGTCATCAACAGGGTGACAACAGCGAGNTAAGGATCAGGAACGGCGTCAGCTTGAATCCGGCGACGTTTCCACCCAAGAGTAAGGTTACTCTGTCCTTGAATGCTTTGCACCCAGGCATTGCTTGGGCTTCTCGGTGTATGTAGGTCCGCTCCGGCATTCTTTTCCAATACAACCCAGTTTCATCCACTCTGAATATCTGTTCCGCGAAATAGTTCCCTTCCGCTACAACATTATCAAGTTCATCCGGAAAGTGTTTGCCGGCTTCTTTGTCAGCTTTACCTAATCTCTGCGTTTTCTGGTAATGAAATCTTAGCTGGAATCTCATAAACCAGCCACGGCTGGCCGTGAAGGTTTCGGTGCACTCCTCGCCTGCTCGTTCTTTCAGCGTGGAGAAAAGGCTGCGTGCCTTGTTCTGAATGAGAAACAGGCTCACCGGAAGCCTCTTCTGTATCTGATCTTCAATCCAGAGGATGAGGAGTTTCTCCATTTCGTGGACGAGGTGTTTTTGCTTCCTGATTATGCTCGTGGTCATTCCCGATGATCCTTTCGTGGCCTCTTTGATCCGTTCCTTGTCCTTCAAAATGGCGGAGATGGTGGAGTGGGCCAGGCCTTCCTCTTGAGCTATATTCGTCACTTTCTTCCCGGCCTCGTACGCTTTGATGATCTTCATCTTCAAATTGAGGCTGATGACTTTCCTTTGCTTCTTTTTACTTCCTTCGGTTGTACCGGAGCTCTTTCTCTTTGAAGACATCTTGGTATGGGATACAAGCGCACAGAAACAATTAAATGAGCAAAGTAACATTAAGAGCAGGTTAATATACGTAATAACGAACACGTGATTAAGAGACAGGTGCCTCAAAAGGCCTCAATGGATGCATCGGTTGCCAAATGAATTTTCAGATGCAGAAATTTGATCATAAATTCATGTTTTTATACTGCTTATTACTGATGTGTTTGCAAATAGTTCCTCACCCGGCTGGCAGCCAGATGAAGAGCCACTGTATTGCGGCCTGTGAAACTGGAGTTAGTTGTGAGAAGTCAGCCAAAGATTTATAAACAAGGAGGACCACTCGCAAAAGAAGAGTAATAAACAAAAACTATATAATTTACCACCGATGTATGCCGGTCTCTGTGCCAGACGACATACACCGGAGTGAGAGTAATGCTGGCATTGCTGCACCAGACAAGTCTGAATGAAACAGCAGCTGCCAGAGGTCTTCGCAGCATCTCTTGATCACATGTTTCTTTAGCAACCATTCCGCTTCCTATTTAAGGGACTGATTGCAGTTACTAAACAGGAAAGGATGTTTGCATAACTTATTAAACCCAATCATTTGAAACATATTATGGCTAAATGCGATGACTTTCTTTGGGCAAGTTGCCAGACAATGGTGGCATTCCTAAAACATGCTCAGAGAAGGAGGAGGAGGAGTGGGGGAGGAAGAGGAAGGGAGGGAGGAGGAGGAGAGGGAAGGGGGTAGGAGGAGAAGAGGAAGAGGGAGAAGAGGAAGAGGAAGAAGAAGAGGAAGAAGAAGAATACCACTTTATAATGCCTTGGTAAGGCCACACTTG